GGATCCTGAACTCCTAGCATCTTATCTCCCAGCAGGCCCCCGCTTCCTTTAGCACATGGAATAAAACCATAGGGAACAAATATTTGTCTGTGTCCAAATTACTCACTCCCAGCTGTGTTATAGTGGGGGGTTGGAGGGAGCAGCAGAAATTTGGAGGGAGCGGCTGGGGAGGGGGTGAGATGTCAGGCAGAAGTCACCCACTGCTTCTACTGACCTAGCCCACTGCCCCAGTGTTGAAATCTTTGTTGGATCCCAGGAGACTCACCCTGAGAGAGGTCACAGTAGAGGGAGTATGAGACATGGTTTCCACTCTGACATCACTCTACACTACAGGCTTGGCTCTGTAGATGTTGGCTGCGTCTAGACTGGTGCTCTCTTGCGCAAATACTTTTAACGCAAGAGTTCTTGCATTAAAGTATTTGTGTAAGAGAGCATTTACACTGGCATGTGCCTTTGCACAAGAGCATTCCATGCCAGTGTAGATGCTCTCTTGCGCAAGAAAGCTCCGGTGGCCATTTTTGCCATTGGGGCTTTCTTGTGCAAGAAATTCCTGTCCTGTCGACACTGCCCTCTTGCGCAAGAACACTTGTGCAAGAGTGCTTTTTCCCGAGTGGGAGCGTCAAAATTCTTGCACAAGAACACTGACGATCTTACATTAGATCGTCTGTGTTCTTGCACAAGAACTCGCGACCAGTTTAGACAGCTGGCAAGATTTTGCGCAAAAGCAATTGCTTTTGCGCAAAATCTGGCCAATGTAGACACAGCCTTTATGTTTAATGGAGGCGAGACAGTCCTTTGTCATGGGTCTTCCCAGCACAATGGGGCTGCAAACTCAAGGGGAGGAGGGTCCTGGGCCCAGAGCTTGGTCAGGGGAATCTGGATAGCACCTGGTGCAATGGGACCAAGCCTCCAGCATGTGGGCAGCTCTACTTCTTTCCCAAGGGTCTAGTCTGGTGGGAATCCCACCCCAAACCTCGTCCGTTCCCAGGACGGGCAGCTGTGATGAGAGATGGTGATTCCCTCTGGCTCCTGGGAAAAGGAGAGAACACCCAGGCATCCTGGATCCCAGCCACCCTTCTCTAATCCATGAGCCCCCATTCTCCCAAAGCCAGGGAGAGAATCCAGAAGTTCCATACCGCTCCCCCCCACACACAGCTCATGTTGGTGATGGAAATGGAGGCTGATGCTGCAATGAGTCCTTGGCCCTTCCTTGAAGTGCAGGAAGGATGGGCAGTCCTGCCAGGAGACACTGCGGAAGGGGCATTGTGTAAGGATAAGGCCCCTACGGCCTTTCTCTGTTGCCAGATTGCAAAGAACAGTGACCATTAACTGAAAAACAGGAATTCGTATCCTCATTCCATCTAAGGGTATTTCTACACTACAGCACTAATTTGAACTAACTTAATTTGAAATAAGCAAATTTGAATTGGCGCATCTAGACCTAAACACTAATTCAAATTAGCGTTTTGCTAATTTGAAATAGCATGTCCACACTGAGTGGACCCTGAACCGAAGTTAAGCCTGGCAGGAACCAGTGCTGGCAGGGCATCAGGTTAGGACTAAGAGGGTGGAGCTGCTGCCTCAGGCTAGCCGAGGGCTGTGCTTAAAGGGACCCAACCCCCACCCCGGACAGACAGTTCTCAGGGTTCCCCGCTTACGTGTCTACCTTGATGAGAGACAGCAAAGCAGTCCTGGCTTGGAGTGCCCACACTTGGCACATCACAGCACTCGGCCATCAGCCCAGCTGTACTTGCCGCAGGCTGCCATCCGGGGGGGGGTCCATCGGAGGGCTGGCAGGATCCAGGAGGCCCTGCAAGAGAGCTTACACTCCGAGGAGCCTGCAGAGCCACCCCAGTCCTCCCCATCGGGGGCTCGTACCCCATTCCTCCCTCACCGCCTTCCACTTACCCCTCCCTAGCCCCCCTTCCTGATGTAAAAAATGAAACGTGTTCAAAAATAGAAACTCTCTTTATTTAACAAAACAGGGGGGGGGGATTAACCTCTGGGGAGACTGGGAAAAGGAGAGGGAGAGGGGAAGAGAAAGGGTGGAAGAGTGGAGAGGAAAACCTGGGAGGAGGGAGCTGGAAGGGGGAAGCCAGTGGAAGAAGGGGGAGGGGAAGTCTCAAACTATGGAGGCTGTGAAGGCTAGAACTATAACAGAGTTTAAAGACAAGTTAGATAAATTCATGGAGGTTGGGTCCATGGAGTGCTATTAGCCAAGGGGTAGGAATGGTGTCCCTGGCCTCTGTCTGTCAGAGGCTGGAGATGGATGACACGAGACAAATTGCTTGGTCATTGTCTTCGGTCCATCCCCTCCGGGGTAGCTGGTGTTGGCCGCTGTCGGCAGACAGGCTACTGGGCTAGATGGACCTTTGGTCTGACCCAGTACGGACATTCATATGTTCTTATGCTCTAAGCTCAGGGTTGAGGGTCTCACTGGACCAACTTGATTTTTCATGCAAACCTGCTCCTGGGTTCGCATGTGGCCTTTGGTGGCCAGGCTGGCAGCTATCCTGCCCTTGATGACCGCTTTCCTGTGCCTAGTCTGTGCGGAGATTATGGACGTTGGAGGCCTCCCCCGAAACCTCGATGAGGTCCACAATCTCCGCACAATCTCCTAGGAGCCGCCTGCCTGGTCCCGGGAAGAGGCGAAGGGCTGGGTGGCAGTGGGTGGCTGGCTCATGCCATGCTAGGTACAGGGTCTGCTGGCTGGGTGCTGGCAGGCTTGCACCTGGCACAAGCACTATAGCCAGACCGTGCCCCTTTAAGGGCTCCGAGGCCGGGAGGGGAGCAGAAGAGTTTCCCTGGTTGTGCCCAGAGTGGCCACCAGGGCAAGCTGGGGAGGGCTAGCCTCCCACTAGTTCGAATTAAGTGGCTACACAGCCCTTAATTCAAACTACTTAATTTGAACTAGGCATTAGTCCTTGCAGAATGAGGTTTACCTAGTTCGAATTAAGCACTCCGCTAGTTCGATTTAAATTTGAACTAGCGGTTTGTATATGTAGCCCCTATTAAAGTTAATTCGAACTAACGGCTGTGAGTTTGAATTAACTTTGTAGTGTAGACATACCCTAAATTACATTCAAATCATGTACTACCAGGCTGCTAAGGAGGAGACCCTGGAAACTTCAGACTCCTGATGGAGGCCCTACTTAAATGTACACCCCAAATTAAAAAAACACAGTAAGAGAACCAAAAAAGTGCCATCGTGGCTTAACAACAAAGTAAAAGAAGCAGTGAGAGAGAAATAGGCTTAGTTTAAAAAGTGGAAGTTAAATCTTAGTGAGGATATTGGAAAGGAACATAAACTCTGCCAAATTAAGTTTAAAAATATAAGAAAAGCCAAAAAGGAGTTTGAAGAACAGCTAGCCTGAAACTCAAAAAGTAATAGCAAAATGTTTTTGAAGTACATCAGAAGCAGGAAGCTGGCTAAACAACCAGTGGGGCTCCTCGACGATCGAGATGCTAAGGAGCATTCAGAAGACGAGAAGGTCATTGTGGAGAAACTAAATTAATTCTTTGCTTTGGTCTTTATAGTTGAGGATGTTAGGGAGATTCCTAGACATAAGCCATTCTTTTTAGGTGACAAATCTGAGGAATTGTCCCAGGTTGAGGTGTCAGAGGAGGCTTTGGAACAAATTGATAAATTTAACTGTAACAAGTCACTGGGACAAGATGGCATTCACTCAAGTGTTCTGAAAGAACTCAAATATGAAATTGCGGAAACACTGGTCTAATGTCAATACCAGGCAAATTAGTTGAAAATATAATAAAGAATTAAATTGTCAGACACATAGATTAACAGAATTTGTTGGCAAAAAGCCAACATGATTTCTGTAAAGGGGACTCATGCCTTATTTATCTACTGGAGTTCTTTGAGAGGGTCAACAAACATGTGGACCAGGGGGATCTAGTGGATATAGTGTACTTCAATTTCCAGAAAGCCTTTGACAAGGTCCCTCACCAAAGGCTCTTACATAAAGTAAGATAAGAGGGAAGGGCCTCTCATGGATTTATAACTGGTTAAAAAACAGGAAACAAAGGGTAGGAATAAATGGTCAGTTTTCAGAATGGAGAGAGGTAACTAATGGTGTCCCCCAAGGGTCTGTACTGGGACCAATCCTATTCAAGCTATTCATAAATGATCTGGAGAAAAGGGTAAACAGTGAGGTGGCAAAATTTGCAGATGATACTAAACTACTCAGGATAGTTAAGACCAAGCTGACTGTGAAGAACTTCAAAAATCGCACAAAATGTGATGATTGGACAACAAAATGGCAAATGAAATTTAATGTTGATAAATGAAAAATAATGCACATTGGAAAAAATAATCTCAACTGTACACACAATAGGATGGGAACTAATTTAGCTATAACTACTTGACAGAGATCTTGCAGTCATTGTGGACAGTTTTCTGAAAACATCAGCTGTCAAAAAAGCAAACAGAATGTTAAGAATCATAAAAAAAAGATAGCGAGTAAGACCGAGAACACTTATTGCCTCTATATAAAACCATGGTACGCTCACATCTTGAATACTGTGTACAAAGTCCAAAGGTCCATCTAGCCCAATATCCTGTCTTACAACAGTGGCCAATGCCAGATGCTCCAGAGGGATCTCCCCTTAGTCTCCTCTTTTCTAAGCTAAAAAGTCCAATTCTTTTTAATCTCTCTTCATATGGAACCCATTCCAAACCCTTAATCATTTTTGTTGCCCTTTTCTAAACCTTTTCCAATGCCAATATATCTTTTTTGAGCTGAGCTGACCACATCTGTACTAAAGATATTAAATTTAGATTAATCAACTAATTGAATACTCAATGTAATTTGCATCGGCTATTCAATTAGTTGATAAGGGCGCCTCCGCCTTTGAAATGTAGCAAGAGCCCTTAAATGTGTCAGGTAAATGTGTTAGTTGTTAATAATTAGAGTAAGGG